AAGCTGGGAGAAGAAAAATTCCATTAAGAAGACTTTGTGACGTATGTTATCAAGTTACTTATGATAAAAAGTATTATACAAATAATGAACTTTTAGACTGTGGAAAAAATAAAGTAGTTTGTTTATTATTTCCATGGGTTATACGCCCTCAACAAAATATTATGTTCATTAATTCAACAATGATTAAATCATTACCAAATTCTCAATTATCAAAAATAAAACTAAAACAAATTAAATAAACTGAGATTCAATTAATACATTTTTATTTTTTCTCTTTTTTTTTTTTAGAATTTTTCTTTTTTAACCCATGCTTCTTCAGGAACGTACAAAGTATTTACTGCCAATGAACAATTAACAAAACACCCTTTTCCAAATTCTTTTATTGTAGAAGGGATATTTATACTCTTTAATTTAATACAATTTTCAAATGCATGTTTTCCAATTGAAACAATACCATCTGGTAAATTAACTTTAGTTAATGAATAACATTCTGCAAAACAATCATTTCCAATTGCAGATACTCCTTTAGGAACATCAAATTCTTTAAATCCACAATTATAGAATAATCCTTTTGGTAATACTTTCAATGGTGGAAGAACAATTTTTGATAATTGTGAACATTGAGCGAAACATTTATTCTCAATGTTTGTTACTGAAGTTGGAATAACCAATGATTTTAATGAAACACAATGTTCTAAACATCTTTTTTCCATAGAAACCATTTTAGAATGAAACTCAATTGAAGTTAATGAACAACAATCAGAGAAGACTCTTCTTCCTAAGGCATTAATTGAGTAAGGTAAAGTTACCTTTTTAAATTCAATATATGTTACATTTAATTCTTTAATCATGTCACAGTCAAATGGATGATGTTCTGCATATTCAATAAGGTCATCTTGTTCTAATACAACATTAGTACATTTAATTCCACCTCGTCTTATCATTTCTCCAATTCTATAACATACTTGTTCTTTAAATTCTTTATTTATTAAAGATGAACTACTTAGATTATTAAATAATATTTTATTTATCTTTTGAGCTCTTAATAACTTAGGAATTAATAACATTACTTGATTTGAACTCATTCTAATTTCATCAATACAAGCATTTTCAAATGCATTTAATTCAATACTACATTTTTCATTTAATGAAATGCTTTTAATTAAAGCATTTTTAAATGCTGTTTTATCAATAAACTCAACATTTTTAAGATATAAATTCATTTGATTTCCCTCAAAACATCCTTCTTCAAAACAATGAATTTCATTACCAAATTGAATTTCAGTTAATTCTTTATTTCCTTTGAAACAATCTTTCCCAATAAATGAAACTTGTGAAGGAATAGAAATACATTTATTTCCTTTATTCATTTCTATCCATCTTCTTTTATCGTCTTTAGTAAAAATTATTTGTTCACATTTTCCATGATATTTATTTACTTTTTCTGATACCCAAAATGCAGCTCTTTCTACAATTAAACTTTGACTAAATTCTAATGAACTAAGGTTTTCAGGAAGTGCATTTTTTCCAATAAAAACAACACTTGTTGGAAGTTCTATTTCCATTAAATTTGTTTGTAAATGAAATGCATTTTCTTCAATATAATTTACACCATCTTTTATATATATTTTATTTAGTCCAGTCATTCCAACTTCATTAATTGTTTTAGTTTTCCATTCTTCAGCATCTTTACAATTAAATTTCCATTTCTTAATATTTCCAATAACAATTCCCATTGCTCGTTCATCTAAAATCCCTTTCCATTCTCCTATAATATGAATCTTCTTAACCCCAACATCTACAAGCATCATAATAGATTCTGCTTCCATACCACTTCCTATTATCATCTTTTCTTTTCCAGTAAATAATCTTAAACACCCATCAGATATCGTATTGACTTCAGTTGGTATTTTGATTCCTTCTCCATCTTCATTAATCTTCTTAGCGTCTTCAGGTGTTAAAACAATTCGGTTGAAATATACATTCATTTGTTCTTCTTTCTTATTCTCCCTATTCCACTTCTTAATAATCATTTCTTTCACAGACTCCATTGCCCCATAAGACACATCACATAAAACTTCTACCCCTTTAACACGTGGATCAATAACATCTTCAACACTATACAACCGTTGTACTTGAAGTCCATTAAATAATTCTGTTTTTCGAATAGGATTAAATTTTAATGTGGCAACAGATATTGCACATTTCTTACTAACAAAAATGAACTTTTTAATCACCTCTTCTTTATGAATGTTTCCGCAAATTAATTTTAATTGAAAACAATCTAATGAGTTAAAACCCATTCCTTTTTTATTTTACAATAGTACTAAAATAATAAAGTTCTTTTTTCTTTCTATTATAACCGTAATTCTTTTTATTATAAAAAAACTATCAATTAAAACAATACTCTTTTTTTCATTGGACTTTCAAAGTTAGGGGGTGGTTGAGATGGATTTTTGGATTGAATTGAAAGTAATAAATTTTTAACCTCCATAACCCTTTCATAGTCTTCACATAGTTGTTTCTTTTGTTTATTCAATTTATTAAGTTCATCTTCAACTTCTTCAGTACTTTTTTTGTGTACAGTTAAAATATTTCCTAATGTAGGAATTTGTCTAGATAATTCTTCTTTTAATTCCCCAATCATAGGTTGAAGGAAGTATGCATTTAACTTACTTCGTGCATTTCTCCAAAAACTATCTCGAATAACTCCAAACACCCGTTGACAAATTTTACAAATAGATGAGTGAGAGTCCGCTCCATTGATATTTCTTAATTCTTGAAATAGTTTCACTTCATTTTTGTCTCGTTCTTCCATCATTTTTTGAACTCGCTCTTTAATTTTTTGATTATGATCAACTGGTTTTAGTTCTTCTTCATCTTGTGTTTTTTCATCATCATTCTCTTCTTCCATGACTGTTGTTGTGCTTGATAACATACTCCAATCAACAACACTTACAAAAGAATTTAAATCATCTTTCAACATTTTTTCACAACGTCGTAACTTTTCTTTAGCGAAGTTAATATAAACTTCTTTTAGAGCATTACTCAACTCTCCATTTTGTAACGAACTCTTTTCTCCAAATACTTTTTCTATTACATCAAGTGCAACATTAAACAATCTCTCAAAAACATGTGTAATTCTTTGTACCAATATTGAGATAATAGGAAGTAATGCACGTGATGCCTTCGTTTTAATAACAACACTAATAACTCTTTCTCCACCATTCAACATTCCTCCAATTGCATGAATACCCATAGCAACACAAACTTCATCAGCAGTTGGTATTGGTAGTTCCATTGTTAGTAAAGCTGCTTCTGTTTCTCTTAATAACCTTTCATACTGAGCACCTCCATATAATTTCATCCCACTACCTACAATATTAATCTCAGAACCAACTCCAGGCCATTTTTCACATTTGACTTGAGCTCTTTCTTCTTCCATTGTCTCTCCATACTCTTTTGGGCTTATGGTACATTCACCAGTGATAAGTTGTACAATTAAATTTCCAAGGCTACTAACTGAATTATTTAATCCTCTTTTAAGTTCATCTACATCATTGCTCTCTTTTTCTTCTTCTAAGCTATGTATTTCTTGGTCAGTGCCTTCAATTTGCTTTTTTAAAGAATTACTCATTTCATTAATCCCTTTCATATACTCATTAATAACTTCCTCCTTAAGAAATGAATTTAATCTCCAGACTCCAACTTTCTTAAAATATTCCTCATTAATTCCCATAGTTACTAGTCTTCTTAAATCATCTATTTGTTTTTCTTGAAGAGACTCCTGAAATCCTTTGATAGTTAATCCCCTTTTATTTAAGAAAGAAACATAGAAATATTTACATTTTTCTGTTTCACCATCAAGATATGCTTTCATCTCTTCTTTATCTTTAACCTGAGTAATTCTATTATCAAATTTACTTTGTACTATCACAACATTTTTATGGATGTTCTTTTTTTCTATGACCCAACTTTCACAAGAATTTTCCCCACGTTCTTCTGTTGATTTTTCAACACAAAGAATAATTTTTCCTTCTTCTTCTGTTACATATTTCTCCCACAGTTTCTCTACTTTTGTTTGAGTTTCATTTTGTTCTTCAACAAAACCTGGAAGATCAACTATTTTTAAAGGAATAACATTTTGAGATTCTATTTTTATAAGTACTTCTTCAAACCCAATTGGTCTATTTTCATAGCATCTTTTTTCTATTAACTTAGGAACTTCATCAACTGTAACTTCTTTCCATTCATTTTCTATAAAGAAAAAGCATTTACATTCTACTCCACGTTTATAAATAGTTTCTATAACTATAGGAACAGTTGTTGCAGTAGAAGTATTAATATATTCAATAGGCATTCCTACAATACCTTCAACTAATTCTGATTTACCAGAGCCTTGAATTCCAGTAATAATAATTTCTGGTTTCTTATTGAATTTAGTGATATTAACACATTCTTCATATTTTTCAAAGAAAGCACATCTTTGATTTGAAACTTCAGTGGATTTTATCATTCTTTCTTTTTCTTGTTTTAATACTTCTTCTACATGCTTTTTAAATTGTTCAGCTTCTCTTTCTTTTTCTTTTTCTTCTTCTGTCTTTTCTCTTTGAATATTATGAGTTTTTTGAGCAACAAGGCTACGTGCCATTTCCTCGATACTTCTTATATTTTGTGTAGACTGTTGACTTGGAGGTAACATTCCTTTAGCAACTTGTAAAATATCTCTAACAACTTGTGTTGAGCTCATGAATATGATTAATTTGTGATAGTTTTATCCCTTTAAATATCTCCTGTCTTTGTTATTTATATTTTCATCCCCTTTCCTCAATTTCCTTAAATAGTTTAATTTACTATTTTATTAAATTAAAATCTCAATTTTATTATCAGTTCTCTTTAAAATTCCTCAAATTGTTTCATGTTTTTTTTTTTCAATTCTAAATTTAAATAACATATTTTAATCATATTAAATTACTTTAAAAAATGTTTTTTCCTGGTTTTTATTTTGAAAGATATTTTATATATTTCTTGATTTTAGTATTTCCCTCTTTTTTTAATTTTGCAATCTTCTTTTCAAGTTCATTATTTATTTCCCCTCTTTTTGTTTCAAGTGTTATAGAAATATCATACAACTTGTCTTGGTCTTCTTCTATTTTGTAGCTATTATAAAAATTCATTATTTCATTATATCTTTTAACTGGATATCCAATTGCTTGTTTAACCATTATTTCCTTAACTAAATTACCTATACTTCTTATTTTAAACCAGTTAATTAATAACTTATCTCCTTGTTTATTTCCATCAGTTGTAAATACTAAGTCACTCATTGTTGAACCTAAAAATGGTAAACAAGGTGGAACTGCAATTTTCATCATTTCTCTTAATTTACTAAAATTTTTTTCTTGGTCACATAATTTATTTAAACTCAACTCAGTTTCTTTATCTTCAGGTAATATTCCATCCCACGTATCTTTCAACCGATAAATTGGTGATGATTCTAATGCACTTAGTACAGCTTTCATTCCTTCAAAATTATTTAATTTTTTCATTTCTTCTGATACATGAATAAAATAATGTAATAAAACCGCTCTCATTTTTACATTTTCTTCAGTAAGAATAATGTTTTGAACAAAGCCAAATAATTTTTGAGATGAACGTACTAAAGCCATAATATTTGGTGTCAATACTTCTTTATCTTTTTTCATCCAACCATTTCCAAGAAATTCGTTGTAAGGAATCTTTCTGAATAATTCATTTTGTTGAAAACTAATTTGTCTTGCAAATTCTTTATAATGAAATTGTAAAACACCAGAAAATTTAACATTTTTTTCTAATGTAATTGGTTTAAATAAAGGTAAATCTATCTCTTCACTTGACTGTTTGTTAGGATAGTTTCTTTTCATTTCAATTTGCTTCTGGATGATTTTACTCATTTTAGGATTAAATTCTTCAAAATGGTCCAATAATTGTTGTAATTTTTCAATCAACTCCGTTTGTCCTTCAAAATCTCTCCAAGCGTTTTTTATCCAAATTCTTACGAAATTCATAATTTTTAATCTTAACGGTGATATAACATCTTTCACAAAATTTTCCCATAACATCCCTTCTGGAATTGTTGGATCAAATAATATCCCAAGTAACTCTAATAACCTCTCTGGTGTAGTGACTAATCTATAAGCCAATACAAAACATTCTTGAAAATACCCATCGTTAAACTCTGTCGTCATCATTGTTTGGACACATTTTTCTAATGTTGCTTTTTGGATGATCTTAAAGTCACACCCAGCTTCAGTTGTCCAAGTAATACAATCACTACTATTAGGTGAATCAAATAATCCAGAATATCTTGGATCAGGATTATACTTTTGTTCATCTATTTTTCCTTCATTCCCAGATAGGGATGAAAAGTCTGTTGATGCACTTCGTGATGAACGAGTGTCTTTTGTCTTAGTAACTTCAATTGGTTTTGCGGACATTATACTACCCTTTAAAGTTTCTTTTCCCTTTTCGATTTATATTCTATTTTTAGAATTATTCTATTTTTAAATATTTTTCATTTTCGTTAAAATAAATGTTATCCAATCAAAAAAAATATCCCAATCAATTCTAATCTTAAAGCAAATTTTTTATTGTTGTGGACATTCTTGTGGTACAGGTGGAGCAGTTGTATTTGATGTATTACCATGTGGTTTATCTTCTTCTTCATCGTCGTCATCATCATGACCTTCACAATCGCAATCATCATCACAATCATCATCCATATCTTCGTCATCCATGTCTTCATCATCTGGTTCAGCCATACTTTCATCGAAGAAACTCAAAGCCATTGGATAAACTTCGTTAATAAGTTCCATAAAGATTTTGAAATTAGTATGGCAAATAATTACATCTTCATCAACTTCTTCCATCTCTTCTAAATTAAGATTTTCTGGTAATGCTGGAGTATAGAACAAATCAAAGAATGATTCAACTTTTTGTCTAACAGCAGCTGCTGGTCTTCCTCTTCCTCCACGTTTACCACCTCTTCTTTTAACCAATTTATATCTAACGTCTTTATCTTTATGCCATTCAATAGGTGTTTCAGTAATAACAGCAGGTTCATCAAATTCTCCTTCAGCTTCACATAATTTGCATTGAACACTAACAGTAATTGTTTCATTAGTGAAATATTCATTTGGTTCAAAATCAAAATGAACTTTATAATGATATTTTAATGTATCTTCTCCATCTTTATTTTTAACATCTTCTAATGGCATATATTCAATTCTAATATTCTTTAAATGAATTAATACTGAAATATCAGCTTCAGAACCATTGGCTGAATCAAATAACATTGAATTTTTAAGTACTTGGAACCAAAAAACTGGAATTCCTTTATTAAATTGTGATCCCTCTTGTGCAACAAGTTCATCTGATTTAATATATCCTTCTAATTCGTCTTCTGTTGGTTGAGCATTTCCTGTAATGATTTCATTCATTCTACCATAAATTTTACTGGCCTCTTCATTAAATTTACTCATAGCTTCATATCTAGCTCTTTCACAAACAAGTCTTAATTTTTGTATTTCTTTCATTTTTTTAGTACAGGCATGATAATTTTTATGAACTTGCTCATCAACTAATGTCATATATTCTTCATAACTTTTAGTAGCAAGATCAATAAGATCACTCATTCCTCTTTCTTTTATTTCTTTTTAGACCTTTTTATATTTTTAGGTTTCTTTCTAGGGTTTGATTAGGTTTTTTTTCTATTTTTTCTTTTCACTATCCTTTTAATCTCTCGTTCAATAAAACTCTTTTTCTGTGATAAATAACAATTACAATGCTACTTAAAGTATGTCAGTATATCAGACAAAAGATGGTTATTATTTGTAAAATTCAAACAAGTTGTTGTAAAAAAAATATAACTGCATTAATTTACTAACTGGAAAAATAAAAAAAAAGAAAAGCAACAACGTGTTGGAATATTTAAAGTTTTAATAAAAAAAATCTTCATTATTTCTCTGTTTCATCAGCATTAGATTATCTCTTATTAATTTTCTTTATTGTTATAAAAGTCAATTAGAAAAAAAAGTTATATTAATACCAAATAATACTCTGTATAATACTTTGTGTAAAATTTTAACAGATTGGATAGTAGTAGTTAGTAATAAATTCTAATTGAATTTATTATTATCAGAATAAGAAGAAATGATAACAAAAAGTTTAATGGTTGATATAAAAATATTAATAAATCTATATTGTATGTGCTAAGACAATGTTTTGGTTTTAATTTTTAACTTAAAATCATTATTTAAATAACATTATTATCAAGATATTTGGATAGTTTGTTTAATAAAATTCAAAGTTAAAAAAAATTGAGAAGTTCAATTGTAAAAATAAAATAACAGAATTTAGATTTTTCTGCGAGAGTATTAAAAGAAGTAATATATTAAATGTCATAAATTAAGTTAGATTAGTTAAACGTTCATTTTTATACTAACGCACTAAATGTGATAAATCTGTAGTTTATTCAAAAACTTAAAGTAGAAATAATTGTTATTTAAGTATTTTTGACTTAATACTATATTATATTAGTAAAGGTTATAACATTATTATTGAAACAATATAGTTATTGGAATTTAAACTAATTTTTTGTTATTCATTTTGTTTTTATTAACAAATAGAATTATACACAATCACTTTCTTCTTTGAGTTTATCACTTTATTCTACTTTTTCATTATTCAAAACTATTCTCGAATTAATTCAATTAAAATTTATGTGTAAATTATGTTTTGATTCGTTCTTGTTTGTTGGACTTGATTCAAATACAAAATTAATTGGTTTTTGATATTTTCCAATGTGACTGTATCAGTACATTTAATGCATTCTTCACAAATCTTATGAATTGTCTGATTTGATTCATCCAGTAAATGACTCAAAACATTTCCAAATGCTTTTATGTCTTCATTTTCTCCATCTTCACATTCTTTTGAATATTTTTGACAGCAAGGATGAAGTGATGGAGGAAATAGATGATATGGTAATTCCCATCCAATTAACTTTCCACACACTTGTTTCAGATCAGTTGATACAACAACAATATTGTGTTGACATAGTTGTTTGAATACAATCCCTTTTTTCTTTAATTCAATCAATCCTTCAATAGCATCACAACATACTTTGATAATAAGAATTTCATTATTTTGGTCTAATTCATTTATTGTGGAATAAAATGTGTTGTAAACAAGAATTAATGCATTTGGAGATAGTGCAACTTTTTGTGGAGAACATAAATATTGGGATTCAACTATTAGGGATTTAATATGATTTATACTGCTCTCATGTAATGCTGGTTCTAAAGGTAATGCTAGTACAACTCCACTTTCTTTATTTTGTGACTTAAAAACACAATCCCTAAAAACACCAATACAACTTTGACATCTAATTCTTTGTTCTATGAGATTTTCCGAATCAATCACATAATCATCTACTGTTTTGATGACTAATGGAATCCTCACTGCAGATTCTCCTGTACTGATGACAATTCCTTCATTTGGTTGACAACTACATTCTATTGTAATGCATATTCTCACTTTTTCACTTGAATGTGGTTTAATGTCAATGTATTGCGGTTTAGCACAATAACTAATTCGATAACTGATGGGGACTTCCACTTTGCATTCCATTAATGTGTCAGATGCATTTGTTATTGTAAGTGCTTCTTCTATTTGGGTGTGGACTGGTGCTTCCTCATTAAATCCAAATGTGAGCCATGATGGTGTAATGAGTGGGGGAATGGCTGGTGATGCTAACGCCCATCCTCGATATATAATTACAAGAAGAATCATAGATGCAATGAAAATTAATACAGAAATAAGTTGAATAATGATAATACTTCCAATGTCAATCACAACATAGCATTTCCATGTGTCTTCATTGAGATAATACCCATTTGGACATGTACAATCATTCTGGTTACAGTATTTTTTTAATGAATTTCGTATATCAATTCCATATGGATGGTCATTTATATTTGAATACATTCCCCCAACAAGAACTTCTTCTCCATCTAATGTGGTAGTATATCCTTTAAAGTCATAATGTTCTCCAATAGATATTCTTCCAATCTTTGTAAATCTAATATGGTGTTTGTGAAGAACTGCATAGTTGTCATAATACATTTCAACTGCTCCACTTCCATTATCATGTCCAAATAATCCAATTACAATTATACTTCCATATGTTTGAAGGATGTTTGTTTGACTAGAATTAAACAATACGTCATTTGGATGATAGAAAGGAATATTAAGATATTCAACACTTTTGTAGTCATTTGGTGATCGTACTTCAATGATATTATTTGATGTAATTGCTGTATATGCAACATCAAATATGTTGAGTACCATAGGATCATGATATGCTGTAGGGCTTGTGTTGTTAATTGAATAGGAATAAATTATATTAAGCTGTGGTATTTTATATAGTCGTGTTTCAATCCCTTTTTTGATTGCAAATATGTCATGTCCATGAGAAAGATATTCTCCACATTCTATATCTGTTTTATTTTCAACCTGTCCATTTGATTGGAAGATTGAAATGGCTATATTGTTATTGTGTTTAGTATTTCTTATGAATTTTTACAAACATCCTCCTACACAGACAACAAATTGTTCACCAATTACTTCTATTGGACTTGTCAAATCAATCTTTGTTGGCATGACTGTTATATTTGATGGTGTTGAGTATTTGTAGTGATAGACTTTACCCTGGTTGATAACAATGATATTTTCATTGATATTGATTGATTTTGGATGCTGTGGTGGGTCAAAAAATGAAGCAGTAAGAATAGTTGAATTAGACACTTTTGCATCTACAAAAAATTGGTTTGCTTTGGAGTTAATTTAGTCAGTTTTCAAACAGGATGTGATGGGTAAGTAATAATAAAAACAAACGACGTGTCTTTTCATAACGAGTGATGAGTGAATAACGATAATCAGATAATTCATTGAAGTAAGTGTCTAGTATCACATGTGATTTGTTGGACATTGAAAAGTCAACAGGGTTGAGTGCAAATAGTGATGTGAAGAAGATGAATATTAACATTGATATTTTCAGATTTTTAAGATGAACAAAACTAATTATTCTTTTATAAATACAACTAACACTGATTGTATTTAAATCAACATTCTAAACATATAGAAATGAAACAAAGTATTTAACAATCAAATAACTGTTAATAATGATGAGTTTCATTATGATAAACATTATTATGAATTAGATTTGTTCATTATTATTTGTTTAACATTTTAACAAAGTCAATGAATAAACAATGTAATATGAGTATGTTGTTAATTGTGTATTTAATTGATATGACTATTATGTTATTTAACACGTGTTCATTTTATATTTATTCATATTATGTGTTTCTTGTTAATTATATGTGTTTATTATTATCTTTTGATTTTTAGATTTTTCTTTCTTTTGTTTTAATCT